GGAGAAAACTGCATGTGGGTGAAAAGCAACAGGGTAAGAGGGGAAGAGAGAGATGGGACAGAGGGACACACACAGCAGGACGGAGAGACAGGAGGACAGAGGGGGGGAGAGGGGAAGCAGGAAGAGAGAGAGGGAGAGAGGAAGAGGGATGGGGAGAGGGAAAGAGTGGGGTGGAGGCAGAGCTAGACTAGGAGAGGAAGAGAGACGGGAAGAGAAGGAAACGCTACAAGCCGGGCAGACCAGGAATCAGAGAAAGGGGGGACCAGAGCAAGGGGCTCAAAGGGAGACAAAAAGACACAGACACACACACACACACACACACTCGCCCCAGTCCCCGCATGGGGTCCCAGGCCCTGGGGTGTGGCCCACCTGGCTTGTCTCCGACCACGTGGAGCACTCGGGCCTGGCTCTCATCCCCGACGGGCTGCAGGGAGACAGCAGGCGTCAGGGGAAGGCAGCTCCAGCCAGGCCCCTGGCCTCCCCCGCCACCCGGCACGGCTCTCACCACGTCCGGGTGGGTCTGGTTGGGCAGCCTCAGTGCCTGTAGGTAGAACTGCTCCTCGAGCTGGGTCTCCCTGGGGTACAGGAGGACAAGCTGCTTCCGGATCTCCCGGCCACGTGCCCGCAGACCCTGGTATAGGGGGTCCTGGCGGCAGGACGAGCAGGTCAGCTCTGGAGAGGCTCAGGGGTCCTTCGACCAGTCTGACCTTGATCCTTGCTGGCTGAGCCTCTGGGGTGGACAATTGCTGCCTCTTCTTTCGGCCTGGCATCCTGCATTTCCTTTCGGGAACCTCCTTGACCACCGCATGGCAGGTTCATGGGGACAAGACTCAGGCCTGGCCAACGGGAACACTCTACTGCCTTGGACACTGTGACAGGCTCAGAGTTAGGCACATGACCTGGGCTGAGCTCGTGAGACTCGGTCCCAGGTCCGGCTGGAGCTATCAGGAAGGTGTGCTGGGTTCTGCTGTCTCCTTCCACGACGGGAGGGAGCGAGAACGGGAGGGAAGCAGCCCCAGACATGGAGCCAGGACCTGGATCCCGCTGTACCTGAAGTAGGGTTTTTAGTTCCATGAATTAATAGAGCCTGTTTTTTTTTTTTTCCTTAAACCTATTTGAGTTGTGCTTTCTGTCACCTACACTAGGGGAATCAGGGCTGATAGGGTATCCTCCCTGCCCGCCCCCAAACCCCAACAGGACGCCACCTTCCTGTAGTACCTGCTGCACTTGACTGTTGTCCTGGTTTGCCTGGGAGAAAAGAGACAGCGGGGTGATTAGGCTGGTGACGCTGAGCGTGGGGAAGAGGACAAAAGAGCCAGGAGATCTGCATGTCCTGCTCTACCAGTGCCTGGCTGGGCCCCTCCATTAATCTGTGCCTCAGTTTCTCTGTCAGCACAGCTAGGAGGACATTAGATAACATAACAGTAACCACACCTGCAGCTCTGTTTATTGAGTGCGCCCTCCATGCCAGGGTCTGTGTGGAGGGCCCGCATATGATCTCATTTCTTCATAACCCACTCTGAGGTTGGCATGAATGTGAACCCTGTCTGTAGATGAGAAAACCGAGGCCGGGAGAAGCAGTCTGTGA